GCCGCAATCCCTTCTCCTCCATTCTCCTCTTGGGATCTTGGGCACGCACGCACACGCGCCCGGCGTGAGTTTTAAGCCACCGGGTCCGGGACACGAACCGCGGTCGACTACGTGGGAGTCCAGCGACATAGCCATTACGCTAACTGCTGGTTCCCACGCACACGTAGGTTTCTAAGAAGTTCCCCAAACTCACTCCTATAGGGTGAAATGAAAATAAAAAAAGAAGAAAAACAGAGTGGTAAAAAATATTTTAAAGATCTCATGCCAGCCAGTGGCGTGGCAGTTAAAAGCAGCTGGATTCCACAGGCCCAACTGTGTGGTTCAAGTTCTGAACCTGGTGGCTTGAAAAACACACTGTGTGCTTCTAGCATGTGTGCCCGAGATGCAGAGAGGAGTATGGAGGAGAAGGGACTGTGGCATGGTCATGTCCCCTAGGGGGTGATGTCTCACCTTCTCTCTCCTTCTCACTCTCTCTGGTGAGTGCATGCACCATAGGGCAAAACTAAAACAAAGAAAAAAACATTTTAACATATCAAAGTACAAAAATATGCACATTGATTCTAAAAACTCAAAACACCAGAATATTTACATATTTTATTAAATCTTTACAATCAGTAATTATAATCAAATACACAATTATATACAAGGATTATATACATTTTGCCCAGACTTTTACATCACAGTACATAGTTTCCCTTAGAAATATTGTAGACATTTACCACCAAACAGTAAAATCCAACAACAGTAGTGTTACAGCACCTGTTAGTACAGACATCTTTTTCATAAATTACATCATAAGAAAATATACGGCTGTAAATTGGGCTTTTAAAAATGTCTTTTATAAAATCTGAACATACAATATTTCATTCACAGAATGTTTTTTTCTATGTTCTGACTGAAGCCTTGTGCATAAAACGACCAGTTGGAATAGTCACTAAATTCTACCCACCCCGCCCCACCGAAAAAAATGAGAAGCACTATTTGAATTACTTATGCTGAGCTTTCTTTACAATGAATTTGGCATGGGGTTTGGTGAGGGAACAAATGCTGGCTTTGCTATAGAAAGGGTTGTGTGACAGTCATTTGAATTTTTTTAATCCCCAAAAGAGTAATTATCTTAGAGAAGTTAAAATCAGAGAGTGCACAATTTTTCATTTTACTCCCTAATACTGTAAAGAAAAAGGGAAAGTATAATAAATTTGTTGTGAAAACAATTATATTCTTTTTGGAAGTCTCTTATAGGTTAAAGAAAACTTATCCAACCAAACATCTCATCCCAAACATACCGAGTAATTTACAGTTCTTTCGCACTTAAAACTTCATGGGAAAAGTATTGCAAATTAGGGCATATCATTTTAATAGACTTTCATAAGCAGAAAAACTATACCTATTTTTCTTTTAGTAGATAAACAAGTCTAAAACTTGGAAATACCTGAAATAAATACTTGCTCTAATATCTAACCTTTAACTTTCTAATAAAATCCTTGATTCCAGGTTTGTAAACATTGTATAAATCTTTCTGAGTCAAACAATTTTATGGCTGTGGTGATCACTTCAGCTCTATTTCTAAGCAGTCAACATTTAACTGAGGTAGACCAGATGTTTCTAAATTCAGGGTCTCGCAGAATCCCCTGAATCTTTAGCAAGCAAATAAAATATATTTTTAAAAAAAACATAAAAAATAAATCTAATGCTGTTGGAATTTTTTAATGAACTTAAAAGAAACGACTTTGCGGCAGTATCTTACATAAATGAATGTAGAAGTCAATTATAATGTTGGTTTTGAAGCTGAACCTTATATCCTCTTTTCTTAAACTAGGGGAAAATTGAGTATAGCTCCTTCTGGGTATTCAGTATAATTGGGTGCATTTTTTTTTCTTTTTTTTTTTTTAAAGGATTTTGTTTTCTAAACAAGTGAATAGTTTGCTTCTAAACCTCAATGAAAGGCAACATCTCCCCCTAATGGCCAGAGGAAGGGAGCGTGGCAGTAAGCTGGCTCTTCCTAGTGTGTCACAAGATCCTTCATGCCATTCAACTCTTTATTTTGGGGAAAAATTATTTTAGTAACTTAGAAAAACTAGATTTAGACAACAATGGCTTTGAGCTTAAAATTCGAAATCAACTCAAAGTATATAAGGCTTCTGTAATCAAAGTCTTAGAGGAACATCTGCTCCTTTTCTCCAAGCCCCAGTGCTATCAATCAAGGCAAGTCAAGTAATGAAGCTTCAGCTATTTTGGCAGCTTTGCAATTAAGATGAACAAAGCACTACATCTATCCTTCCACATACTGTACGGATTATAGTTCTATCTTCTCACACCAAGTTTCACATGCAGAGGACTAAAAATATCCATTTTGGTGTCAGGTTTAATTAAGGGCCAATAAAGATCTTGTATACTACTCTTTTTTCCCCCTCCCCAAAGTGAATTCTCTATTAGATTTATTACTCACTGACTCAATTACATTTACCTGGAATTTTCAAAAGCAGGTATTTATCCCCTTATAAAAGAACATGTTTACTTGGGATCTAAGACATACTATACATGAATATACATTAACTACAATACAGCACTGCTGTTCTTTAACAGCTCCAAATATAGTTTAAGTTCATCAGTACCTCAAAACCGTGTTTTAGAAAAAGGTTATTTGGTAATGTCATGGTAAAGAGAAAGGAAATTAAGTCTCTCAAATATTCCTTTAGAACTGATTCATTCAGTTCTACAGCTGATCACAGAACTGATAAATTTAAAATAATAAATAAAATGAGTAATGCCATGATTTCAACTACAGGACTGTCTACAGTTATCAACAAAATTTTTGAAACTTAAATGTGGCCAGTGTCAGATAGCCATCATAAAGAAAAAAAAAACCTTAAAAAGGAAAAAAAAAGAAAGAGGGACAAAAAGCATTCTTGGGACCAGCAGATGGCTAATGGTTACGTCATTGGACTCCCACATAGTTGACTGTGGTTTGAGTCCTGGACCTGGCAGCTTAAAACTTACACTGGGCACACGTGTGTTTGTGTGTGCCCAAAATCCTGAGAGGAGAATGGAGGAGAAGGGATTGCCGCGTGGCCATCCCCCCTCGGGGGTGATTTCTTGCTGTCTCTGTCTCTCTGGTAAGCACATGCACCCTATCGCAAAAATCTCTCTTTAAAAAAGAAAAAAAAGCATTCTCTGTATGCTATATGGCCATATGTAGTTGGTACTGTGTACATTTTTTACACAGGTCACCAAAGACTTAATTTTCAAGTCCATATCAAAAGGAATATTTGTTAAAAAAAAAAAAAAAGATACAAAAGCAAACTTAAAACCATGATTCAATAGAAAATGTGACAGACCCCTTAGGTGTAACTAAGGTTTCAACTTTGAAACCAAACTTTCAAAGGAAAAAAAAATACTAGTAACCCCAGGAATTTCGGATCACTCCCACAGTTTTACCATGGCTCCATAAGAGAGAAAAATGGAACAAAATATAACCAGCTGTTGGCAATTTGGGCCTTCTGGCTCGAACTGCATCCTAAACATGGGATGGAGTAAGGCTGATTGCTAGAGTTCTGTACCCACCACTGAAGAAATGAATCGAGTATCACCTACCCTACAAGGATATAACGCTAAGCTCCGTTTAAGAGTAGTCAGAGCTGCCCCTATGGAAGGCCCGATGGGAAGTTCATATTGCAACATTATTGTTTCTCCCTTGCTCCATTTTTCAAAAGTATTGAGTAACCAATTTCCACAATATGACCTTATTACCTGGTCCCACTGATTAGTCTTTATGCAGAAAACTCACTAGAAAATACACTGGTTTCACCTTTGGTTTAAATGAAAAGACATTGTCAAGGGGGATAGAGGGGAAAATCAAGTCATCTTCTCTTAAATATCTGTCACTGACTGTGACCGCTTCTGCTTCATCACCACTCAGACCACTCTGGGGTTTTGTGAAGGCAGCATAACCAGAATGCCACAACACTCATGTGTCACTTCCCAAAAGAGCCTCTAACCCTAATCCAAGAAATCCAAGCTTCCTTCGATTCAAGAGCTATATGAACTCCTAATCCCCATTCCTCTATGAACTGAATGTGTTTGTCTATCCAGGGACTGCAGAAATCTGGATCCCAGACATGCCCAATCCTCATCTCCTGGCTCCAGGTGGAGCAGGTTGCTGCAGGCGTCATTTGAGGGGGGGAACTGTGAGTTTCCATTTTTGTTGGGACAGTTTTCAACAAGGTCAATTCTAACACAGCATGCTCCAGATTCCTAAGATATCCCAGTCAGAACGTGGTTGCTCATTGCCATACTTACAGCCTCCCATTAGAGGGCCTGCTTAGTATTAGGGTGTCTACTAACCACAGTTTACCTTTTTTTTTTTTTTTTTTTAAATACCTACCACCAGATTCTTTGGTGAGTCATAGCTCATCTTTCTCCATCATTTCAAATGCTTCTATATCTTCATTCCAGTCTGCCAAGATGGAGTCTATAGGCTGGACCTTTTTACCCCAGCTCACATTAGGGTTAGAATCTTCCTCAGTCTCTGACTGTTCTTGAGGTTGGTTCTCTAAATCTGTACATTCACCATCAAGACTTGGAGTCTCATGGTTTTCTGTGGGATGTGAAGTCTGTTCAACAGGGGAAATGCTTACAGCACTGTCTGCATCTGCTTGAGAGAATGATTCTGGGTGAGAGTCTAGAGAACTTTCCTCAGGAGACTCTTGATCAACCAAGTCAAACTCCTGAGAAGCTGACGTACTTTGCTCCCCACTCTGATTCTGGGAATCACTTTCAGAGGATGGTTGTTCTTCATTTTCCATTTCTGGATCTACATAAAAAAGAAACAAACTTCCTGTTACTTTCCCTCTCAATAAATTTGCTGTTACACTTTCAAAAGCATATTGTTTTTTGCAACAAAATGAAGAAATAAAAAGTTAAAGAGAATCATTCTAATGTAGAATAGCAAACATTAAGCACTGAAGTCTTATAATAATGCAATGCATCTTTCTGTATATTCATTTTTCACCATGTGCCAGTATGAGAAAGTAAATGAGGTTCAGCCAATGGCATGGTGGTTAAGGCGACTGGAATCTACGTGGCCAACTGTGTGGTTCAAATCCCAGACCAGGGGCTTGAGACAAGCACTGCCTGGAGAAATGCACTGGGCATGTATACGTGAATATCCACAGTCCTGGAGACAAACTGAGAAGGGACTGTAGGTTGGCCATCTCACCCAGGGGGTGATTTCTCACTTTCCCTCTCTCTTCCTCTCTCTAGCAAGTACATGTACCCTTTGGCAAATTAAGAGAGAGAGAGAAAGGAAAAAAAAGAAAACTAAATGTTCTTCCAAACAGAAAGGAATGACTAATAAAAGACTAACTCTGACAGGTATCAGTAAGTGCCAAGAAATATCACGGAACAATACTACTACTAAAACACAAAGTTGCAGTTTATGGCTAAAATTCACTAAATATCTAAATTTAGGAAAGTTTGTAAATAACATACTACATAGAATAAATTTTAAACAGGATGTATTAATGTTATATATATATATTTTTTTTGAGAGGTTTTTGGTATAGGGCACATGTGCTCGACAGACAGACAGAGACAGACAGAGAGACAGAAAGCGAGAAATCACCCCCTGGGGGGATGGCCATGCCACAATCCCTTCTCCTCCATTCTCCTCTTGGGATTTTGGGCACGCATGCACATGTGCCCGGAGTGAGTTTAAGCCACCGGGTCCGGGACTCGAACCACAATTGACTACATGGGAGTCCAGTGACATAGCCATTAAGCTAACTGCTGGTCCCTCAATGCTATATTTTAAGATAATAATCTTCTGAAAAGTGAAACTTCCACTCAGTAAGTCATAAAAAATATACATCACAGATTTTTAGATGATTAAGGATTTTGATGTGACTGATCAAATCAAATATTTTCATAGAGATAAGAATTGAGATTATTTACAAAAGTTTTATGTGTAGATCTATAAATTTCAAGAAAAATCATTCTAAAATCTACCAGAAGGCTAAGAAATAGCTTAAACCTTTTTTTTTTAAGAATTATTCATTTCATTTTATTTATCATTATTATTTTTATTACTAATTTGCTAAAGGACTTACCAGAGAGAGATAGAAAAAGAGATAACAGGAAAGTGAGAAGGCAAGTGCCAGGTCAGAGACTCAAACCACGGTCAGCGACGTGGGAGCCCAATGCCTTAATCACCATGCCACATGCTGGCCCTGAGGTTAAACTTCTTGTAACAAGTGTACAATGAAACCAATAGAGAAAAGATGGACCTATTATAAAACCAGAAAAACTGAGGGAAGAGGGCATAAAGGGACAAGTCAATGTATTCGTATTTCCCTGACTGGATGAGATCATCTGGTTAGCGAAACACATGCTCCTAGCGGGTGTCCTGGAGGGGGTGTGGGGAGGAAGGTGTGGGAAGGATCCCCACATGTTCTCTTTGTCCTCTAAGCTATGGAGGAGGTACAACCTAACTAGACGATTAGATGATGGGGCCCAAAGAAAGCAGGAAGCTTGCTGTTCAGAAATTATTTAATGCTAGGCTATCCTATGCTCAAGGGAAAAACAAAAGTAAAAACCTTCAAGTTTCCTTCTAGATAGTATTATTCCAGTTCAGAAAGGTAAGAGAAGGTGTCAGGTTGTTTCTCACTCTAGCTAATGCAATCAGGTAAGGAAACAACAGTCAGTGCAGGCCCAGTTTCTACACACAGTGGGCAGTCTATGAACTGCACTGCTGGAAGCCACGCAGCCAACCACAGGTTCAGATCTCCAGCCCAGTCAACCTGAAATCCACAGGACATGCATGAGTGCCCAAGGTCCTGATGAACTAGAGGACTTAGGGAAGGGGATCATGGCATGGCCAGACTCTGTTGAAGGTGTTTCTCTCTCCCACCTGGACACATGCACTATCATGCATAAACTTAAAAAAAAAAAAAAAGAGAGAGAGAGAGAAATCAGTGTAAATGTCAAAGATCAAATTACCTATATTTTCAGATTGTGGCTACGTATCAAAACTCAAAGCAACTCTAATTTTAAAAAGTCTATTAAAACTAAGAGTTTGATAAGAAAAGTAAAACTAAGTATAAGTATCAATAACTTCTCTGCAGTAGCAATAACTGACTAAAAGTAAAACCATGTACCCTTTCAAAAACAGAAATAAAAGCTACAAAACACCAACTTAATTATGAAAGGTACAAGGTCCATATTGCTGAATATTATAAAATCATAAGATGAGATCTGAGTAAATACATAGATATTTCTCTATATAGGTCTTAATATTTAACATTTTCTTAACTCATATGTAAAGTATGCCACTTATAATTCCAAAGTGGAAATGAATCCTATTTCTATTTCTTTCTGTTTTTGTAGCCAGGTATTAAAGTTCCTATGGAAGAATACACATCAAAGAGAAGTGAAGATACTCTAAAAAGAATCAGTGAAGGGAGAGTTGCCATATCGGATATTACGATTTATTCAAAACACTCAACTGTTGCTTTTCTCCACAGGAATAAACAGATAGGTCAATAGAAGAGAAGAGCAAGTCCAAAAGCAGATCTAAGGATGCAGGAGCATTTGATATTTGGGAAAGGCGGCAGTCTAACTCAAGGAGACGTGGACGACCTTATTAATAGTTAATATTGGACACTCAATTGCAAGTCAGAATCCTAACTTGTATTACACAAAAATGAATTTCATAATAGTTAAAGACCAAAATGTAAATAATTGGAAAAATTCCAGAAGGAAATGTAGGAAACACCACGTCAATACAGAGTGGGCAGAGGGTCGCAGTGACACGCTGCCCTGCGATGGCAGAGCCGTGTGGAAGGCCAAGGCTCGGCTCCAGGCTGCCCCGTCGTCTGCGGCAGGTGTTTGTTCGTGGCCACCGTCATGGCTGGCTGGGAAGGCTGGGGAACGACCACTGAGTGATACCCTGTTGACAGTGCCTGTTTCTCTCTCTCCTCCTCTAACTCATGAAAGAAGGAGACTTAAAAATAATGGGTGGGGTGAAGCAAGACAGGAAACCCAGGAGCCTTAAAGAAAGTAATATTTCTGATTTCATTAAAACTGTAAATGAAAGAAAGTAATATTCAGTCCAAAGATGATCTTCAGGGAAAATGGCATATTTTAACTTTAAAAAGTTTACGGAAAAATGAAATTAAAGTACAAGCTACATTTGGTGCAAAAAAATTATAAATCCATGTAGTATTTTTTTTTTTTTGAGAGGTTTCTGCTATAGGGCGCGTGCGTTCACCAGAGAGACAGAAAGCAAGGAATCACCCCCCAGGGGGGATGGCCATGCTGCAATCCCTTCTCCTCCATTCTCCTCTCGGGATCTTGGGCACGCATGCACACGTTCCGGCGTGAGTTTTAAACCACTGGGTCCGGGACGCAAACTGCGGTCGACTACGTGGGAGTTCAGCGATATAGCCATTACGCTAACTGCTGGTCCCCTAGTATTTTTTATGATACACATTTTCTATGAACTTTTTGAAGACCCCCACAAATATAAATGTCTTTATATATATGCATGTCTTTTCTAGATATTTATAGAATTTCTATTTGTAGATGTGTAAATAAAGGAAAATAAATGTACACATACATACAAATAAATAGAGTGGTCCTAATAAAATATCTAGAAAAGAAATACAACTTTATTTAAAGAAGGTACAGCCTGGGACCAGCAGATGCCGTAATGGTTACATCACTAGACTCCTGCGTATCAACTGCAGTTCGAGTTCCGGACCTGGAGACTTAAAACTCTCGCTGGGCATGCGTGTGTGCCCAAGATCCCGAGAGGAGAATGGAGGAGAAGGGACTGCAGGGTGGACATTCCCCCTGGGGGGTTATTTCTCACTTTCTGTCTCTCTGTCTCTCTCTGCCTCTCCAGTGAATACATGTGCCCTATAACAAAAATCTCTCTAAAAATAAAAAAAAAAAAAAGCAAAAAAAACCCAAAAGGCATAGCCTCCGAATAGGGAATTCATATGAAAAGAGAAGATGGAACTATTACCTCCGAAGGGTACTGTGCTGACTAAACAGGGAGAGAAGAGTGCCCGCACATCCTGTTGGAAGGGACATGGACCGCTACAATCTTTTTCAGAATACAATTTGTGACATGTGACAAAATTTAAAAGGCCCATACCCCTCTCCCCAGCACTCCACTTTAGCAAATTTCAAAATTCTAGAGAAGTAAGAGTCAACATGTAAGAAAATCCGTGCAAGGATGTTTTCTACACCACTGTACATAATGGCAAAATAAACACCTGGAAAGAAGCTGGATGTCTAATAAAGAAGTGATGAAATAAATCATGGTATGGTCATACTATACAATGTAAGATAGCTTTTTTTTTTTTTTGAGAGATTTTCACTGTAGGGCGCGTGCGCTCGCCAGACAGAGAGAGACATAGAGACAGAAAGCGAGAAATCACCCCCCAGGGGGGATGGTCACGCCACAATCCCTTCTCCTCCATTCTCCTCTCGGGATCTTGGGCATGCACGCACACGCACCCAGCGTGAATTTTAAGCCACCGGGTCCGGGACACAAACTGCGGTCGACTACGTGGGAGTCCAGCGACATAGCCATTATGCTAACTGCTGGTTCCCGATGTAAGATAGCTTTTAAAAGAGTACGTTATGTTACTGAATGGTATATAGAGGATATCCCATGACTGTGACAAGAAAAATAAAATCACCCTGTAATTTGTAAATGTACAAAGTACAAAGAAAACTATAAAAGAGCATAAACCAAACTTTCTTTTTTTATGAGTGTTTTTTGCTATAGGGCCTGTGTGCTCACCA